GAAGAGGGTGTGTGCATGAGCCAGGCTGATGCAGTCTTTTTTATGATTCTCATGGCATCCCCTCTGAGTGAGAAGTAAACATCCTGTGAGAGTTCGCTGCTGAAAATCTTTCCACTGTAAATCCTCACTGTCGCTTCCCCGACTCCCCTCAGCGCTCCCTGTGCTTTTAGGAGCCCTGCTCCAACTCCCCCTTCTCTCTCTTCCGTCTGCATTCTTCTCTTATCCCCCTCTGATGTTCATTCTTCATTCTTACCAGAGCAGTGGTAACACTCTAGTGGAGCAGTCTAACACTCTTGCTGACACCTGAACTAATTTGAAACACTAAACTCTAAAGGACTTGGGGTCTAAACTTCAGTTACTTACTCTTGTAACTACACACCGTACGTATTAGTCTCGTTGTAGTTACTGAATGATTGGGAGTAGATGCTGGAAAATTCAACACCCAAATAATCGTAGTCTTAATTGGTGAAATTCTACATGCAGAATTTCTATGCAACTTAAAAGTTACACAAAGCAATTCAAAATAACGCAACACATTTTATTCTCCCACTAATTAGCATGATTATCTAAGATATCAAGATATCTAAACCAATCCAGTGTGTTATTTGCATTTTTGTATCATTTCAAGAGAAGAGAAAGTTAGCAAGATCATGATACAGCAGGCTAACAAAGCAGAACCAATGCTGGCACAAACAGGCTTTCCAATAGCTGTAATGTTAACTTTAGCTGCCTGTGTAACTAGTTAATTTCCCTACCTGGTTACTAGCAAATAAACTTGCTCCAAAAGAATAATTTGCTGTCACTTTAAATGAGTGGTAGAGGTTGGCTGGGAGTCCAAGACAGCACAATAGATCTCCCTCTTTCTGGGTGGGTAGGATGGCCCTCCGCTTGATGCCAGCACAATACTAGCCAGTGCAGGTGTCTGTTAGCTGATGTAACAGAATTGGCAGTTAGCGTTCTCCTCCAAGCGCACTGAGCTGTCCAGTGGCATTGCATTGACGAGCAGTTCAAAAAGATGCGGTGGCACTTTGGTGTCTTGGAGGAAGCACATGCTAGCCTTCAACCTGCCAGCTTGGCAGCATTGTGTGGTAGAGGGAGACCTGTCTAGTGGGTGGAACTGAACATGACCAAATTGGGGTAGGGTTTAACTTTAAAAAAAAAAAACAGTGGTAGGAAATGTGGAGTTTTTTAGATGACATTGTTTGATGTGGTCATGTGGTCATTTTTTTTATATAACTTCCAAGTTGCTTTATATAATGCAACACAAGTAAAATAAGATTGTGTGAATGTAAGTTTCAAGTAACTAAAAATGAGTGAGTTTGACCATGTAAATCTAGTCTAAGATTAATCTGAATAAGCTTGGGGTTACTTTTCATTGTTAGTCGGATCAAACAAACCAATAATGAGCTCTTAGTGATCTGAGCACATGCTGATACATTTCGCTATGCCCAATGTGGACATAGTGCGCCCCACTACTCTGGCGGCATATGTCTCTGAATGTTTAGCTGGCGGAATGTTAGGTTAAGACAAGGTTAACAAGCCCTACCTGAGCTGGGTGTATTAGAGCATAGAAAACACTAAAAAATGAAGGGCTACTCCAGGACAAATTTTGAGAAACCCTGTATGAGAATGTGTGGTACTCTCTCTCTCTCTCTTTCTCTCTCTCTCTCTCTCTCTCTCTCTCTTTCTCCCTTAACATCAGTCGTTGCCTCCATCCTTCTCCCTGTCTCTTTGTTCTCTTTCCTTTTTCTCTCCTCTCTCTTTGCTGTGTGTGATTTGGTTCTGGGCAGAAGTACAGGGGAGTTGGAGTTCAGCTTCATTTCTGACACATTGGCTCATTTCCGCTAGGCCTCCGCCTGGCACTGCGCCAACACCAACAGGTGATCCCTGGAGCAGAGGAGAAACAGGAAGTGGGCTGCGTGTGGTGGAGACAGTCCACTGGAGGCATCGTCTGGCCCCACCCACCTGGCCAATCACCAGGCAGGGGGGAGAGAACTGATCTTACTGCTACAGGGGGAGAGAGGGGGGGTGGGGGCGTTCTGTAGCTGTTTCTACTAAGGTTTGCAAGATGAAGAGACATTAAATTACACACTGATACACATGTGTAACACTTCTTACACACACATACAAAGGTTTCTATACACCATCAGGATGTATATATGTTATATTGTATATTGTATTCTTTTAATGTTACCTGTATTTATTGCAATATTAGTGTTAATATTAGTGTTATATATTAACACTTACTGACTAGATAAATAACTTATTACATCTAATGAACTAAACTAATAATTTTGCACAGTACTCTTTGTAAGTGCATATATGTATATACACACCAACTGAGCACTTTATTAGGTACTCCTACCTTGTACCTACACTCAGTATCCATTTTATCAGCTCCACTTACCATATAGGTGCACTTGTGGATCATTTCGACCAATGCAGTGAGTTTGACTTGGTGATGGTACTGTCCACTTAGCTACCTTGTTGTTCTACCTTGTAGAAATAAAGTCAGAGACAGTAGCTCATCTGTTGCTGCACAGTTTGTGTTGGTCATCCTCTAATCCTTCATCAGTGGGCACAGGAAGCTGTTGGCTGGATATTTTTGGTTGGTGGACTACTCTAAGTCCAGCAGTGACACTGAGGTCACGAATGAACACACGACCACCACATCAGTGTCACTGCAGTGCTGAGAATGAGCCTGTGGGGGTCCTGACCGTTGAAGAATGGGGTAAAGGTGGTTAACAAACTATGCAGAGAAACAGATGGACTACAGTCTATATATATGATTTTTCTTTAGTTTCTATCCTAAAAGTGGACAAAAGCAAACACACACACACATTCACACACACACAGACACAGATACTGCTTGGAGAGTGTATATCCTCTTCTCTTTTAGCACACAGTGACGTGGCTTTGCTGTCTGCTCCAGTAGTGTTAAGCTCATTGGCTGATACACAGCATAATAAAACCTCTTACTGAAAGCCAAGCAACTCTGTCACCACTTATCACCACAACTCAAAACAGTCCTGCGCTCACGTGTCAATATTTCATTAACCTACAGCCACTACAAACACAAACACACAGAAACATTAATGCTGTCCAGTTTTCATCCATTAGAGATGAGATGCCATCAGATATTGATCTAGTGTGAAAAGACTGGCCAGAGCCTATTCATTATGGCAGAACACAGTGGTGAACTATCATTAGGGGATAGCAAGCAAAACACTCAAAAACAAGATGCTCTGTGCTGAAAATTGGTGGTTGCTTCAGAAAGAGAAATGATCGGTCTTGGCTTCTCAACCAAAAAGCTCAGTTGAAATATATCAGGGATAGAGCGCCATCTAGTGTTTCATGAAGCATAGATCTAAACCTGTCTCTTCCCTGTAGCTGTTGGGCTGTGTTTTTTTGTGGTTACGTACAGATGTGTTATGTAGTAAAAGAGGCAGAGCAGTCAGTTGGCATTAATATAAAGAAGAAGAAAACTTGATGAAATCAGCAATGCACAAAAAGAACATGATTGCTGATGCAGTAATATGCTGAGAGAATAAAGAGCTGTCTGTTTCTGATTAAATAGTCCCTACTTGGATGTTACATGCTGATAATATTTGACTCTACAAAATGAAAGCCATGATCTGTGTACTTTTAGATGCAGTATGCATGGCTTTTGCCAATGACTGTTTTATATATAGTTAAGTAATGCTGCACATACAGTAAATATGTACTTAAAACTATGCACTTATTTATCTTTTACCTAGCTAATAGGTAACTTAAAGGACTAGTTTAGCAGTATTAGTACTAGTTAGTACTAGTTTGGTTTTTCAGTTTTGTAATGAAGCTACAAACAATTACAATGTACAATACTGAGACACCACCTTTCACTGATTTCCAGTCAAACTGACCATTAAATTCACACTGTTTATTATTTAGGAGCTATTTCTAAGAAGATAATTCACTTGCATAAGGAAGTGGAAAATATGTGTTAAAAAAGGAGTTTCCAAAACTGGAGTTCAAATAGTAATTAAAATATATAAAGGAAATGGGACTCCTAATAACTGTGCAAGACCTGATAGGCCATCAATACTGTCACTATCAGATAAACAGCACTTGCAGCTTTTATCTTTGAGAGAGAGGAGAAAATCAAGCTCCATTCTTGCTTCAGATCTGAAAAAATCCACAGGTGTTTTGTCCATTCTTCCACTGTTAGAAGACAACTCAACATTATGAGTCTGAAAAGATCAAGGAGCCGTTATAGAAAAAGAAATAGACACAAAAAGAAGAAAATCTGCAAACTAAACAAAGAAGCTGCTGATGTTCTCAGAACAATGGACTGACCACCTCAGAGTCCAGACCTATCGCTGAATGTGTTTGAGATTACTTGGATCGTAAGAAGCAAAACATGCAACCAACTTCTAAGACAACTTTAGAGGTGTGAAAAAACATCCTTGCAGGATGAGTTGTTAAGTAAATTAAAGACTTGTTTACATTGTTTCTGACTCTGTATCACATTATATTTATTAGACAGTGGGCAAATGTACAGCTAAAAGCATAAGTAGCAGACATGTTGAAGCCTGAATGTTGTCCCTACTTTTATTTATTCTTATTTTCTTTGTCTATTTTACCGATCTTTCATTTAGAATGAATAAACCTCTTTTTCTTTGGATTTTTGCATGGTTTGTAGCTACAATTTACTGATTTTTGTAAATGACTACTTATAAATAAACCAATAAACCAGTAAAATTTACATGGAATCTCCAGCACCAAATGTATTCAAAGAGAACATTACATTTGTTGGAGAGCAAACTTACTAACTGTAACTTCAATCAATGTGCCACTTGGAGACAGTAGTGAGTTCAGACATCAGCTGAAAGGAACCCCCTGCTGAGACCATCACAAGCTGATTAGAGTAGGTCAGGTTTCAGCTGACTCACTGTCTGGCTCTGTGTAGTGCGGTTCATTTGCTTTCTGCTGACTCATGCTCCTCTCCTCTCTTCATTCAGTTCCATGTCACCATTCAGTATTGAGAGCATGCGGCGCCCACGGCGGTCCGAGTCCCCGGACTCCAAGAAGAGGCGCATTCACAGGTGTGACTTTGAGGGCTGCAATAAGGTTTACACCAAGAGCTCCCACCTGAAAGCACATCGGAGGACACACACAGGTTAGACACACACACTGATGCATGCGTAAAGTCATTATTATGCTCTGTTTTTGTATAAAGGCATAAAGCTATTAACTGCAAATTTTACCTAACTGATTGACTGATTGATTTCAGTTTTGAGTATAATTCATTTCTAGTAAATACTGAAGCTACCAGTATGTTCCTTTGTTTAGTAGCTTTGGAGTTTCTGTTATAGATACTGTTTTTAAAGCAGACCTATTATAGGATATTCTGAGAACTTCAAGAGTCTAAAACAGGACCTGGAGACTCAAGGTCCAGGACAGGTTGATGATATTCTACATTTCCCCAATATAGCCTGCATATTAGTTTCTCTTTTCTCCTCTGAAATCAACATTGAATAATTAATTATTGAATAATTAATAGTTGCTACTAGGGCTTCATTGATGTGAACATTTTGTCACCTCAGTCAGCTCAGTCAAAACTTGTTGTCCAAGAATGTAAGTGAATTTTCCGCTTCATCATCTTGTCATCATATCTTCATCAATATAATGTTGATTTTGCATTTGAGACCTAAACTTCCAGCCAGATCCTCTTTAAGTATCTACATTAAAACATACATTAGTACATTTTAAATGATTATTTCAGGCTTTACAGAGCGACTTGCAGCAGTTATGCCACTTCTTTACATTTTAACAGAAAATCGTATATAGTGCAGCTTTAAACAGTGATTTACTGACTAATAATTTGTCAAAAATGACTGTCAGTTCTCCACTGTCAACTTCTTAAACACAAATAGTGTTTAGAAACAAGCAGAAACTCACATGCCAGTTTAAGCCTGATTGAGTCAAGTGGGATTTTAAACTCAATCGCTGTGTCTTTGGGAGCTGCAAATCTGTGGTTTAAACTAAACCCAATGGCTGTGTCATTTAAAAATCACACATCTGCCACTAGATGTCGCTGTATCTCAGGTTTAACTGAGGTTTATCTCCAATCTTCTAAAGACTGCTACAGGTAAGATTTTTGTACTTTAAGCGCATCTTGAGTTAAGATTGTTTACTATACCATAGCTACGCCTATAAACCTTTCACCATGATGTTTTCTGGACTATAAAACCTTAAAATCTCGGCTTATTACAGACTAAGGCTTATTATTCAGACACTACAGGGACCTCAGTGCAAACTGGTTGACCTATTCTTATCTTATAAAAGCCTGTAGGTAGGACATGGCCATTTAGAGGGTTTAATTCAAGTTGTAATTAAATGCTGTTTTGCTTAATTAAACACACTGAGATACTAGATTCAGGCTATCCCAACTATTCAAAAGGGAAAAATTTACATCTCAGCAGGCATTTTATTCTTTATTTTTCATTTAACAATTCAATCTTTGCATTTCAAACATTCAGATTTTTATTTAAATATATAAGGAAAATTTCACATTTCAGCTTTTTTTTGAAATTGTATTGAAATGAAAATTCATTAACTGACAAATTTGAAATAATTCATATAGCAAAATGTGTCCTTTTTATACAGTGTTTTATTTTAGTTGGGCTGATCATGGTTTACTGGACGTTAAGTGGTGGATCAGGTAGACTTGTTCTTGTTTTGACAGAGCAATCAGGTTTAATTTAAATGAGACTAAACTGCTGCTAAGCTAATGACAGAGCAATAGCACCACAGTCTTAAACAAAAATATTGTGTTGTGGTAGGTGGATCTTGGGAAGTAGTTGGCTTCTGTTAATTAGCTTTTATTTTATTTTTTATTTTTTAAATATTTTTTTCCTTCAGTTAACATGTTATAAAATGTTGTCCTTATGTTAAAGGTTAGGTTTGGAGTTTGGATTCAGTAGCATTGCCAGTTTTTCAGCCATTGTACCTTTCTTTTCTTTTCAATTGAACCTTAGTCTACCAGCGCAAAACAAGCCTTTATGCGACCATAATATGCTCCCACAATGCACCTGAATTTAACATTTAACACGATAATTCAGGTTGCACGTGTATATTGTGGCCGTATCTTGGCATATTTCACACTGCGTTTTCTCTTGTACTTACATCTGGTCCTGAGAGTTTAAACAGTGTCATTCTGATGGTAAATATTTTATCAGCACAGTGTCTAATCACTATGGCTGCTGCCAGTGTCTATGGAAGTCTCTCAACAACACCTCTTTTGAGACCCATTTGCAAATCTACACCTGTTTTTAAAAGGTGGTGAAAAGTTCCATTTTTCTCAAACTTCAGTAAATCTAGCAGCCATATGTGTAATATCTCCACCCATTTTTTGCACAGTCCTCCCACATATTACATGGCCCTCCCTCAAATGCATATCAATGAAAAAGATTAGCACATTTTGCGTTTTACCATGTACATAGCTCATAAACTGTGGGCTTTAGGCTTGTGCGCTTGTTTTGTACATAACATGCGGGAAAAGTGTGTCTGATTTTCACCTGAAACTGCTGCAAAAGACTTAGTACTTTAGCCCATGTGTAACTGATGCAAAGCTCAACTCTTAAACAGCTATATGAGTGAAAATATGCTATATTAGTGATAAAACATGGGTAAGTGAGTGAGTGAGTGAGTGAGTGAGTGAGTGAGTCAGTCATTCATTCATTCCGTCAATTCATTACAAGCCAAGTCTATGAGATACTTTGCACCTGACAAGCCTAAGCGTTAGCAAACTTCCTGAACTTGGTAACTAACAGATGAGTGATGATGAATCAGGAGTCTTTGAGCAGTGAAATCACCAAACTGTGTTGGACTGTGGCCCTCCAGGACCAGACTTGAGTACTCCTGGTCAAGAGTCTTTAATCCTTTGGCCTGTTGCTAATGTATAGTGTTTTTCTCGTTTTCTTCGGCAGGTGAGAAGCCATACAAATGCACATGGGATGGCTGCACGTGGAAGTTTGCCCGCTCGGACGAGTTGACGCGGCATTATCGGAAGCACACAGGGGTCAAGCCCTTCAAGTGTGCGGACTGCGACCGCAGCTTCTCGCGCTCTGACCACCTGGCCCTGCACCGCCGCAGACACATGCTGGTGTGAGCCCGGTCCACCTCACACACACATTCTCTCTCCCAAACACACGCGCATGCATGCCGGGCCGGGGGGAGCTGGGTTCTCCCCCTGCACTCGTTCAGCTGGGCTGGACACAGTCACAAGCGTACCGGACCCCAGGGATGAGACAGAAGAAAGACGGAAGAGGTATGAAGGATATGTGTCCGTAGAATTCCTCAAGGATGGAACAGGTCGGTCTTACAGGCTTGGGGTCAGTTTGGATATTCAGGATGTCTTGAACACGGACATATGGCGATGTTCAGCACCTGCTAGCTGGTTATTGAGTGAGAGTTCTTCTGTCTGCAGTTTGTTTTTCACTTTTTTTCATTCAGCATCCTTTTTTTTTGTTTGTTTTGTTTTTTTTTTTGAAACGGCTGCTTCTTTTCGTCATCAACAATGTGAAGAACTTCAGAATGGAGCAGCTGCATTCATGCCTTCCTTTTCTGACCCAGGCTAGACCTGGGCTAGAGGGCGGAGCAGGTGCAGCCAAGTTCCTTCAGGAACAACGTTGTTGCAAACAGTGATCTCCTGCTGATGCTTCTGGAAGCCATCGTACCTGTGCAGGGTTGAGGGGTCAATTCCATGGCAGCAGAGGAGGAACCCCAGGCAAGAAGGCCGGAGATTTTTTTCAATTTACCATAGGTCAGCAAACCAGCTAATGAGATTACTCACGCAGCAGGCGACACATCAACAGACTTTTTCACTGTCGTTGTATTTTGGTTCCCCCCGATGTTGGTTTTACACCAAAAAAACTGATCTTTGAAGCACAGGCACTGAAGTGTACGGAGTTTGTGTGGCTTTATGAACTCTTAGAAAGGCCTTACGACTGCGTTTGGTAACACTTCAGGTTTTCAGCCTTGTCCATTCGTATTGGTGCATTCTGTTCTGTGATAAGCGAGTTAAGTGCAATTGTACACGATTCATAGAATTTTCAGTATAAGATTATTTTGCTTTTCTTTTTCCTTCTTCTTTTTTTAACAATGTACCCTTTCTGTATATTCTTGCTTTGAAACAGCTTTGAATAGGATGGGCCCCTGAAATCAACAGTACAGCAGTATGTTCAGCAGTATTACTCATTCAGTCACCCCAACAAATGATCTAAAGAGGAACTGAAATGTCAGACGCATCACTGACCTTTCCCATGTTTGACTGGCGGGTTCGGTGCTCAATGTTCTTTGCCCATCTTATTTTTTTTCTTTTTGGCTCCGAATAAATCGGGGTATAAAAAGGCCGACCAGTTCTGCTAATGTGGGCCTTCAATAGTGTGGTCATACTTGAACAGACAATACATGCCAGGAGAGCAATACACTCACTCAAGAGCAACTGGGGAGTCTGCTCTGACATCAGAGGGCTTTCAAAACATGGACAAATCTTTGGCTTTCTACCAGTGCCACTTGGTTTTCTATACTGCAAAATCTTCTATATTTGTAACGGATTTGTAGCTCTGACATGTTGGACATTCTCAACCCCCAAAAGGATTGGATTGCATTTGAAAGACTAGATTTTCTTTTTAAAAGTGTAATTCGATACAGCACTGCAGAGTTTGCCCTAACGAAGCTCACTTTGTCCCCATATACTCTACTGAATCATGTCCAATCATGTACAATATTGCTGTATGGAATTTAATTCAGCGTTTTGTTAGTATTAAAAAGGGTCTTCTCACCATATGGTTATGTATTTGAATGCATTAAATGGGAATTCCAAAAATCTCTGCAGAATTCAATTACTGAGATGTAAACAAAGTCATTCAGAGTGGTTTGATGTGAAATGAATCTCTCTGAATCACTTTGTTTACATCTTATGATTCAATTATGCAGAATCTTTTTCAAAAATCCCTTTTATTTTGGAATTTCCCTTTAAATAATGCATGTCTGTACACTAATAAAATTACCTTTTATTAGAACTGTACAGCAATCCAGATTGCAGATGGAATCAGAATTCAGCCTCATTCTTTTACAACAAAAGCAGCCACTAGAGGGCAGTCATTTCAAAGAAGTTCCTTAAAGAACAATATAGACTATATAAATTATTCCAAATGAAGATACTAATTTTAGAGATTTATATGATATTATTTGTCAGAGAGATGAACAGTGAGGTGACGAAGTAATGAGTCGCCTATTTTGAGCTGCCAGAATTTGCGCTTACCTTAACCATTGAAGATAAACACTAAGTGAATATCAAAGGCAATATAACAAATATATCAGTTCTTTTGGTGTACTGATCCCAAATACAGGCCATTCTTAAAGGGGAATTCCACCAATTTTTCAAAATTTCTGCATAATTCATTTGTTGAGATGTAAACAGAGTCATTCAGAGTGGTTTCCTGTGAAATGGTTCATTGTAGAAAAAGATCAACTCAGACTCAGACTCAGACAGTGGTGGTGATAGGAAATATGTCCATTTCATATAATATCATGTAATATCCAAAACAACTAATAAACCTACATATCTTATGAGTTTTTATATGTAATGTTGATAATAGTTAAATAGTTATAAATTTTTTTTAAATTGGGAACTATTTTTCCTTAGAACATTCTGCATGTATCTCTTCATGAATGGACTTTAAAAATACATATTAGGACAAAGGTTTATCTCAAAACTATCATAAAACAGTGTTTCAGGCATAATGCAATGCATTTCTACCTATTTTGTGTAATAACTTTCTGCAAGGGAGCTTTTTTGCAAGGCATTATTTAGATGTGCGGCTTCTATCACCAGCACTGTGAACAATTCAGACTTGGTAATTTCACACCAAACCACTCTGAATGACTTTGTTTACATCTTAACAGCTGAAAACGGTAGGTAGAATAGCCCTTTAAGTTATTGGTGTTTTGTCCATTGTACAGTTGGATTGTTGTCAGACAGTAGACTCTGTGTGAACGGCTCATGCTTAGGTTTCTACTTCAGTTTTGTAGCTTTTTGTTCCTCCAGCGATGCACTTTCAGATGGCCAGTACAAGCCTCAGTGATACATTTTCATACAATCAGATTCGCACACGAGCAGGTACACACACTTTTTTCATGCGCACTGCTGTTGGCATCTCCACGTCTATCTTATCTCAAAGACAAAGAAGTTCGGTTTTGTGAAAATGCTGTAAGAGGAATGTGTCCATTAGGTAATGAACATGACCAACCACGTCTCTTGCTCTTTGTGTTCTGAAGTATTATGATCTATTATGTTTTTATTTGTCGTTACGTATCTGTTTGTGTACACATGCGTGTTTCCTGTGGTATATGGGCTCGAGCGTATCATCAGCACCTTGTTTTTATGAAGTATGAATATGAAATGGATTATTTTCAGTTAGATATGACATTAATCACCAGTGTATCTTATCATCTTAAACTGTATTTTCTTGAGGAATTTCTGCAATGTGGGGCACTTCATCTGCATATGACTATTTTCTGTACAAAGAAATCTTTTTTGAAATGTTGTAATATATGTGAAAGTGAAAGTTATTACTCAGTTTTACAGGCTGTAAATACCTATTGAGGATAGGTCCTTTTTATTTGTTTTGTAATACAAGGGATTACCTTTATACATATGCAGACTTTTTTGCAGAGACCTTCATGTACCTATCGTTAATGTAGAGTACAATGGGGCTGTATGAGCGAGTGTTTAAGGTCATGTCATCTTGAATGCTCCAATCCTTTATGATTGATGTAATGTGATTAAACAATCTGACGAAATGCACAGTCGTGGTCCACACACAGTGTTCAGGAGCGGCCGCTTCCGCCAAGGCCGTTCACGTTCAGCCATTTCTACTGCTCGATTATGCCTTTTTGTAACAGCGGTATTCTGCTAAATGTGAACGAAAAGGAAAACAACCTTGTTCAATGAATGTTCCTCTCCAAACAGTATTTGAGAGCCATCGGCATTGTTCCCTTTTTTCTTTCTTTCTTTTTTTCTAATTTTAGTTTGGTTTCAAACGTTCTCAAATGAAAGAGTTATAATTGAATTTGCCACCATTTTAGCTCTTGTACAGAACATATGTCTGTTTGAGCTAATACAGTCTGAGTCTATAATCAGTTTATGGGTTTGGTTTATAAAGACAATTCTTTGGCATTGTCCACAGTTAAAGGGGAATTTCAGTGTTTTTTTTTTTCACGATTTCTGTGTAATTTAGTGGTTGAGATGAAAACAAAGTCATTCAGAGTGGTTTGATGTGAAATGCTCCACTCCAGAGAAACTTACTGACTTAGATTTTCTATACAATGGTGTTGATAGCAACCAGGAGTTGCAAATATAGCCATTTTATTTGCTACATAAAATGACCAGTGAACCTCCACATCTTTAAGTTTTTATATGTAATGTTGATGTTGTTAAAATAGTAGAAAATCTGAAAAAAAGTTTTTTTGTAGGGACTATTTTACTACACAACGCCCTGCACGTATCTCTCCGCCATGAATGTATTTTTTAAAAAATGTGTTTTAGGCTCAAAACTGTCATAAAACAATGTTCCCGTTATCAATACAGCTTTTGGTGATATACATTTTAGAGGCGTTAAAGGCTTTGGACGTCTGGTTCCTATCACCACCACTGTGAGCAATTCTGACTCTAATTTTCTCTAAAATTTCGCATCAAACCACTCTGACTGATCTTACATCTTAACAACTTAACTTTGCAGAAATTGTGATTTGCTGGAATTCACCTGTAACCTACTAGTTAACAAGAGTATCAGTAAACAGTAATGTTTTCAAAGGAGTATTATCGACTTCCCAGTCTGGCATTCTTGCATTTTTTGTGGCATAAGTTTGTAACGGCAAACAGGGTCAAAGTTATGCAATAATGAAGAGTGCCTACTATATGACTTGCTTACAAAAAGTGCACAGAAAGGCAACGAAACGGTGCCGTGAACACAAAAGGGCATCCGATACCAATAAACCTGTACTAGACACCCAAAAGCAGCATACAGTGTAGAGTACAGTACAAAGCCTATTTGTAATGCACTGAGCCTTACAGATTGTTCGAAGATGACATCTTTAGCTAAAGCTGTGAACACTCACCCATTTATCACATTGTTGAGCAATGCTGTATATGTCTTCTGAGGAAGCTACATAGATTTGGATGGATATATTATTACTACAACTGAAGGACACAGTTTCTCCATTATTAGCGATTCCTTTTTGCCTCTTTGCTATAATACAGATGAATTTCACGACTTTCAACAGTTTGAGGCCTCCCTTGTGGCTAGGTGTAGAATAATTTGGTGCCTGCCATCCTCACAGATATTTTTCTGCGAGTACAAAGAGTTTGGGTACAGCACGAACCTTTGGTAATTCCTCTGTGAACAGCTTGATTCTTATTTGTATTCAATTTAGTCTGTACAATATTGCTTCTGTTTCGGTATCAACTCTTTTTTTATTTCTCTGCAATCTAAATATTTACTTAAATGCCTTGGTTTCCAGTTTTTTTCTCCCTGATATTCCGTGATTATTGTTCTTGTATTTATGTATAGTGTGTGTGTATTGTAAATATATTCAGAGCTTTTCATTTTACTGCAAAGTTGTGACATTTTGCCCCGCTATGCTTCAAAGGGAGTCCCTTCACACTGAATCCTATCAGAGGATGTCTTGTTTCAGTCGTTTCACAGGTTGAAAGAACAAGTGTTTCTTCTTTTGTTTGAGTTCTCCAGAAGGTGTCTAAATATTCTGTGCTTTTGCTTTTCTCTGTAGTTTCTTTTTTTCCCTAAAGATTGAGCTGTGAATTAAAAAATTGAGTTTTAACATTATACTTGTATGATAATCTAATCGGAGGCATGAAAGTTAATAAAGTTGCATTTTGTATGGAGTATGACTCTCTAATTTAGAAGAGACTGATGCTTTAGTTTTTTTTTTTGTTTTGCTTTGCTATGCTGTTTAGTTTTGAGGTCACGTGAGAAGTTAAGACGGGAAAAAAAGCTCCTGTCTGAGGAGACTGATGAGCGAATAGAATAGAAAAGACCTTCCTTGCAAAACTTAATGTTACTTTCACAAGAGGCAGGGCGTGGCCGTGTGACAACAATACTGTAAGACTACACCTGCCTTGAGCGAATGCACCGCACTGCATTTGAAATGCTTGAGACAACAATTCATGAATGTGCCTTTTTGTGTAACAGCTGAGCTTTTTTCTATGCGCTCTCTCACTGAGAGACAATCTTTATACGCACATTCAAATACACACAACAGACAGCTAGGCTCTGGATTTTACCATTGTTCTGTTCAATGGGAGAAGATAAATCAAAGGCTGTAAAGAGACTGTCTTTGTGATAACAGTCGTGAGCAGAGATTACAAAGGTAAAGCCAGGGCAAAACCGGTCAGTTCATATGCACAGATAAGACCTAAATTGAGGTAGATTACTTTCAATCCTTGATAAACAAGACATTTTTCAGTGCTGGGGCAACAAGAAAGTTTCTGCAGAGGAGCCTTAGTTACTAGTTACAAAGCCTGCTTTCTTTCTATTCACTAGGCCTCAAACTAACAACTCCATTGATGATGAGCAGTCTTAAAGTGGAATTCCAACAATTTCTACATAATGCAACTGCTGAGATGTAAACAAAGTCATTCAGGGTGGTTTGATGTGAAATGGTTCATTGTAGAGAAGTTTAACAACTCGCATTTCTTTACAGTGGTGTTAATAGGAACCAGGAGTCACAATGTCTACAACATAAATATAACCATTTTATTTACTATCCAAAATAACCAGTGAGCCTACACTTCTTCTGAGTCTGTACATGTAATGTTGATAATGGTCAAATAGCTGTAAATCCAACTCCAAACTTTGCGTACCGCTTACTGCCCAAAAATGGCCTGCATGTACCTCTCTGCCCTGAAAGTATTTTGTGAAATACAATTAAAGATAATCCAGAAAAGATAATCCTTTATCAGTCCCACAACGGCAAAATTCACAATAATATAGATGGTGCCAATCCATCAACCTCTGGGTTATGGGCCCAGCATGCTTCCACTGTGCCACTCTGCCAGCCGTACACCCCAGATGGGACCTGAACCCACAATCCCTGGCTTAGAAAGAAGCCAGAGCCTTATCCATTTGGCCAAAGACGTCATTGCAAAACTAACTGTAATGTTGATTGTTGTTGATGGTTACATAGTGGTTAAAAAAAAGTTTTCATTGGGGACTATTTTGACTTAGAACATTCTGCATTTACCTCTCCACCATGAATGGACTTAAAAAAAATCATGTTAAGCCAAAATCTTATCTCAAAACTACCATAAAACAATGTCTCAGGCATCAGTGTATTCATTATGATTATCATTTTATATAAGAACTGTCTCAGAGGGAGCTTTCAGATACATTAAAATCATCAGATATCTGGTTCCTGTCACCACCACTGTGAACAACCCTGGAAACCCTTTTTTCTGGAAAGATGCATTTCACATCAAACCTCTCTGAACGACTTTGTTTATGTCGTAATGATTTAATTTTGCAAAAATGATGAAGTTCACCTTTAACAGTGCTGAAAACAAAGGTGCCAAGAGGGTGTTCTGGAGCAATGCGATATATTTTGGTCCCCTAAACAAACTTTCGATAGAAAGTAGCATTTTAGTAAATGAGATATGTGAGTGTGAAGAACCTGCTTGAAGTTTCATGAAGCTCCACACAATGTCAAGGTTTAAGACTAGTTAAAGCTATCTCATAGAACAATACCTCTAAGCCAGGAACCATTTAAGAGCCATTATTTTTGAGAGCGTACTGAGCTGCCACCTCTCACTGGCCTGCAGCTTTTTTCACGGAGGTGTAATGTGACTGCAGAGCTTTTCCTTTTAGACTGACTCAACACATTTGCCCATCTGCTTCTCCCAGACTAATTAAAACAAACTAAACATCATCATAGCTCACCAACTGTGACAAACGTAGTGGAGAAACACCCTTTTTTAATGCAAGTTCTATTTTCTGACACATTCTTTAATGGTACGTACAACATGTACCAGCATTGATGAGAGATAATACAGAGAGCATGTGACTTTTCATGCCAGGACTATTCATTTTGGTGCAGGCTGTACTGTATCTCCTGTTAGAGGATTTAAAGTCTTGCAGCTGCACATAAAGCAACACCCAATTACTCATCTAAAAATATCCCTACATTTTTCAAGACCAGTAGCACCAGATGTACCAGTTTAATTCAATTGCACTATAGTTGTGCCACACCTATTAGCATTCAGCTAACCTCCCTGGCTGGGCTCGGAGCACAAGGACTTGCCAGCTTAACTTGTAAAACATTTGTAGTCATATGAAGCAATGACAGATCAAATTAGCCTCTTATTCACCGGTGTATATTTTAGTTTTTCCATTTAAATTTAAATGACCAAATTGTAAGGCAAATTATTCAGTAACTGTGTGAAATAAATGTACATTTTTATTTTATTTATTTATTTTTCGTAAAAGTTCCCCTCAAATTAACAGAATGTATTTTATGATCATACACATATTGCTATATGCTTACAATTTACTGCTGAAAGCCAGAAATCTTAGACGCTCTTTGTATTATTTTATAAAAATACTTTTTACAGAGCAGATCACTGAAGAGACACCATCTGTTTATAGTTTATAGCCCAGATTTGTGGAAAAATGGGTCGACTTTCAGTAGACAAAAAAAATTGTGAGTTCAGCTTTTTTTTTATTATAAGGGTTTAAAATTACATCACCCATCTATTTGACAGAAAAGAAGACAGTTTCAGCTCTCATATGACACTCACCTTTTGAATGTAGCTTATGAAATATGAAAGATGAAGAATATGACGAAGTGCGTTTTGGAACCACCGGTGGTCTCAAGGAGTTGAAAAGGTTAAAAAGATAAATACAAAAAGTTGGATTTTAATTAAAAGCTAAATTAAACTTTTTTGTAACATTTATTAAAAGTGCGTTTGACTCACTAATAACTCAATAACAGTTTAGAGGCATAATAACCTCTCCATGGCATTTGAAGAAGGCCAAAATAAAAAGAAAATAACCATTAAAAAAGTACATTTTGTAAGTAAATTCACGCAGGCATAAGGTACAAGCCTGAGGATCAAAATGTCTTTAAAATTATGAACAACATACATTCAATCAGATATGCATTAACTTCTGACTGGTAGTGTATCATTGTTAAAAAAATGAAAGCATTATGTCTCATTTTTGTGTAGTTTGCTTGATATACATGTATTTAATAGTTTAAAAAATCTTTTTAGCTTATTATAAGTAATAATTATACACTTGTGCTCCACAATGTGTGCAGCCCTGTAGCAGAAACTTATTTACAGTAGAATTAACATGCTTTCCTTCTGAGCATGCTGTTAAGCTTCTTGATTATGTCCTGTTTGTAATGTGACTTGCTTTAGTTCTTCTTCCTTTAGTAGTGTGTGTATGTTTCTATACCAGTGTGGCACATACACTGGGACCTAAGCCAAACGTATAATTATTATTGCTTAACTTTTTTATATATGTTATATTAACTACAGACATATGCAAAAGTTTGAACAAGTCTTGTTGATTTTCTAATTAAAAATAAGTTAACATATCCACTACAGAGAACAAGCTTAAATATTTTGTGAACTTTTTTTGCAAATTTTAACATGCAGGGCTCAGCATACTAGGAAAAAATAAAACACAAAATACAAAATGCTGTGACTTTTGTACAGGCCACATTTTATGCTCTGTTTTTTTGTGTTAAATTCTGCAAATAAACATTAGTTGTGCATTAAAGTGTGCAGATGTGTGTTCTCTGTAGACGATGTGTACTAACATTGACTTTTTTTAATTAAAAAAACATAGAATTTGACCAGGGGTGCCCAAAGTTTTGCCTTTGACTATGTTTATACCTTTTTAAATTATGTAATCTTTGAAAAATTGCAAAAGTGCTGAAAAGCCTCTACCTTTATACAATCTTGTTTGAATTTGAGTCATACCTTCACCTGCAGTGGATTTCTGCTGTTAATCATTGACTACACTGTCTCTGAGGAAGAAAGCCAAAAAAACACTTGATTACTGCAGTGGAAAGTAAAGTTTATGAGACCACACATACAGTACACACAAAACACTCTGTAAGCCTTTTTAACAGTTACAAACTGAAGCATTATCTGCTTATCTAAAGGCAATCATGTAGTTCTTCACTGATCTGAAAGATAAGATTTCTTTTAATAATTAAAACCATCATTCCCAGAACTCTACACACATCTTCCATGTGCATAGAGAAGTCTTTTATAGAGTAGAAAAACACCCAATCTCAAAAAAATAAATAATACAGAGTAAAACAATTACAATATTTACACTTAAAGCTTTAACATTCCAAATAAGTGTTCAGAACCATCCATAAAAATCATAAAACCAGCATTTATGGTTGTTCTATGGTGAAATGCAGCATTAGCAACTTTCCATTTGAAGTGACCAGGAGTGTTCATTTCTGAATTGTGCTTTGATTAAAAAAAAAAACAAACACATGGATACCTCCTTCCATAGGTACACTGATACAATGGATTACTTCTTTCTTTGGTATCTGAGACTCAATACTTGAATTAATTGAATACTTGAATTGTTTTTAATCAAGTGGTTCTTTTGAAAAGGGCTGTTCATGTCTTTATGAATCAGCATTTGGGCTTCACGTTGCTCTCAGAGTTCTTTGGTTTTTTCAGAACTGAAGAAAGCAGGCCTTGGAACTTGGACCACTGGGGTGAGATATCCTCCTTAGATTAACTGAGCTTTAACAAGAACAGTTGTGAAATTAATGTAGAACAAGTTTAGAACTGGAGCTATAAGGCTAATGTGACTAACAAACACAAAGAAGTCAACAGTCACCCAAATCTTCTTCCTAAAAAACTAACATCTGGGATTAGCAAAAAATCGTGTTGTTGTTTTTTTTTCCACAAAACTCTTTAATTTCATGACTGTCCTTGTTAAAGCTAAATTGATCTAAGGATAAAATCGCAACTTTTTTTCAGCTAAATCATTTAACAGTAAGGTGCAGTGGACTGGACGGTACATTTGCATTTGTAGTAGCTTCTATGTTCAATAAAAATGGAAAAGGCACTGAAAGTACTTTAGTCATGAACACGATAAATTAAAAAAAGAGCTGATGACAAATCTCTCAGCTAAGTTGGCATCATTTAGCTGTTGTTGCGTCCCACAGGGGCTACAGGCCTAGTGCCAACACAGTTCACTCCCGTACACCTCATGAGTTGCCGAAACCAAAGCGTAACCAACACACCGACGCCTACCAACACAAACAAGGAGGCAGCTTGGAGCATTGACTGGCCAGGCAGTGCTTGTAGTTCTAAGTCTGGTGTCTCTTCATGTGCAGGGCCAGGTGGTCGGATCGGGAGAAGCTCCTGCTGCACACGGCACACTGGAATGGCTTAGCCCCCGTGTGCTTCCTGAAGTGGCGCGTCAGCTCATCGGAACGGGCAAAGCGCCAATCGCAACCCTCCCAGGAGCATTTGTACGGCTTCTCGCCTGAAATAAAACACGACCTGATAAAGTTACAGTGGACGGGGGACACCATCTCTCCAACACGGAATATCAACACAAGAAAACTATGGCAGTAATGGACATATCAAAGAATGAGGGTTTGCAGTGATGGGGGCCTTATCAGCCAGTCTTGTCACTCTCAGTTTTAATGACTTTTTGCAGCCATCAGGAAGAAAATGTAACACTTTCAGAGAGCGATTAGAATGCGAGCGCATGCCTGCAGCATACTTCTGCCTGGCAACATAACAAGTACGCTCCAAAATAAGAGAACAGCCAGTCAGAAGAGGCCTTTTATAAAGTTCTCGATCAAAAAGTCTTACCTGTGTGAGTCCGTAAATGGGCCTTCAGATGAGAGGACTTGGTGTAGACTTTCTTACACCCTGATGCAAAAGAATGCAATAAATGTCAGTGAGCAGATGTTGTTGCATAACTTTAATTACCTAGCACTGGCTAGCTCTGACTTGTTCACCAAGCTCAAACCTGAATGATCATATCTTATAGAGAGGGCGAAGCTCTAATATTAATGATAATAGTCCCATTCTATTGCTGCTAAAGGACTGTTAGTCACTCTGAGACACTGATGATGCACAGGTGTTCTGTCAGGTCACGCTATAACACCTGTTACTTTCACACCTTGTGTGTAACCTTGTAATTATCATCTCAAACCCATGTTAGCGTGATCACAGCAAATATATGAAACATGACTGAGTTACTGAATAATAAGGCTTGAGACCCTTTCATGCTACTGTTCGCAAGCAAAATCACATTCTTTTCAATGCATCTGAATGCTGTGATGAGCAATTTCGTGTCATGGACTTCCAGGACGGATAAATTTCGCATGCAAAACTTGGCATCAAGCTCAACTCTGACACAAGATTTTGTGTTTTTGTAGTGCCACTGCTTTGGCTATGTTGACCTCTGAAGGGGTGGGACCTCATTGCACAGAACCTCAAAAATAGAGGAAATGATAACTTAATTAAGGTCTAAGCTCAAACCTTCTAAAATTTTTGATATGAAATACTGTCAGTCTAGAAAATGTATCATTATCTTTACTTTTGTGATTTTCCTGTTTGTGGTAGGTGGGTTAGTCCACTTGCTAATGGCTATGTTAGCTCCTTAGCTAACCACAGCTGCACACAAGTCATCCCACTGCCATCAACCATGCCAGTTATACATATACTTTTGCTACAGTTCAGTGTGCAGCACTATACTCTTGTAAGTATATTCTGATATGTGAGTATTATCTGATATAATTAATTTGTGTTTTTACCGTTTATGATTAGCGAGTTAGCACCAAAATGGAGGATCTTTTTTTCATTGCCAACCCTCTGGACCAGCCTTGTTCACACCTATTTTGCAAGCGCAATGCAAACTGCTTGAATCTCTTGAATCTTAGGTTCAGTTATTAATCTTAGGACTTGGACTATAAGTGCTATGAATTATAAGGTAATTCTATGAAACAAATGCATATTTATGGGCCCTTAGGGTTTAAGAAGTTAAATGTTTTGACTCTCATAGAGTTGTATGCATATCTTTGGGTACCCCTGGCCAATTTAGTCTACATATCTTGTTGACCTTTTAAGTGGAAAGAAGTAAAAGTGGATTTGTTTAAAACAAGATGTATCCTGCAAGGAAAAGTAAGTGAAAATTCATAACACAAAAATAGAAAGACACCTAGCTGGCTACAAAAAGTGTATTTTGTGTTGTGTAAATTGTGTTTACTTCTTTTTATTTAAAACAACAAGAAAATAAGTAATTTGGCCAGGAGTGCCCAAAACGTTTGCATACCACTCTATAAAAGCATTGAGTGCTAAAGAGTTTGCAGCCCAAAGCCACATATCCAGTTCTAATGCTTAGTCTGACAGCACCTGAAAGTGAAAACACTTTCTCCTCAGATGTTTGTCTGACAGCTTTTTACGGCTCACCTGGGACGTCGCAATGATGTATTCTCCTCTTGTCTAGATCAGGATTGTTCCTACGGTTATACCTGACATGCATTGCTTGTGTTTGCACTGCCATGGCTGCTGCTCCAGGGCCTAAGGCTGGCCCTACCAGTTTAGATGCCATGCTGGCAGCGTAGGAGGGTGGTGGTGACAGGTTGTGTATGAGTTCTTTCCTCCTGTCTGGGCTCCCCGGCTCTGAGTTTGGAGGGGAGGGTGGAAGGTAGGCTGCTTTCTGCTGCTGCTGCTGACCAAAGTGGCCAGAGGAAGGAGGCCCATTACTGCCCAGATCACACATGGATCTTCCTGTAATCTGAGTGGCTTGTGAGTGCATGTTGCTGTATGATGACATTGATGAGCAAACGCTGTTGTGAGGCTCAATGAAAGAGTGAGCGGCAGACACTGCAGGCTCCAGGTCTGAATTCAAAAGCTGAAATAAAGGAACATCCTGAAAGTCAATTGGAGGCGTCTCCTGTTTGATGAAAGTGTTGTTGCCGGCTCCGTTTGCTGTACTGAAGAACTGTGAGTACTCTGGGGCTGGTGTATGGTGACAGCTTGGGTAGTTGAGAGACTGCATGGGTTCGGGCTTCATTTGTGGTGCGGTGGGCCTAACGGGCCGGCAGAGTCCAGTCCGGAGATAAGTGACATCAGGAAGGAAGACATTCATGTTGATGCTGTAGGGAGAGCCTTGTTCCATCGTCAGGAAGCTGTCCTGATTGAACTTATGCTCTGAGCCTTGCTGGAACTGAGGTGGCAGGTATTTATCCATCTGAGGAGAAATGTAAACATGTTTAACTGCTTGTAGTCATCACAAAAGAGTAAACACCGAACATCCTAAAGTACTGTAGGGAGCAACATAATGCACATATTAGTTTCCTGGTAGTATGAAAACAATTAATAGTAGTCACTGAATAATAAGTCTTAAAGTGACCATATTCTACACTTTTCCTTTCAGGTCCCCTCATGACATTTGCATGGGTTTATGTAAAAAAGCATAACTCCAAATAATCCTTTAAACTCTACTGTGCCTAAATGCAAGCTGAATTGCTCCTTATAACTTCAGTGTGAATGGGGGAACCAAACTGTCACAGTCTGAATAGGGCATATGAAATACACCCTATTATGGGTATATTTCATATACCCATATATATGAAAATGATATATGATATATGAAAATGCATTCGTTTTTGAGACATCACCAAAAAGCTATTCATTCAAAACAGTTTTTTCCCTGCTTAGTTTCCATGTATGGACTGTGTAAACTAAGAGCTGAATGCTACTTTTTGAAACTTTAACTTTTATGTTAAAATATAAAGTGAGGACAATTTGTTTTTTCAAGAATTTTCCCCTTTAAGATGAAATCCTAAGGGTCCATATGTTGGTCCACACTTCAATTCTCCACTCCCATAACTTACACATTAGTTACTAAACAATACATTGTTGCTGCCATAGGAAATCCTTGTAACATTTTTAGTTTTTTCTTTTTCACTTTTTTTTTACATAAACATGTCATGAAGAACGTATTTTTTAACAAGCTACACTAACAGTTTTCTGAGTGACAGCAGCAATGCAGTAGTCTTTGAATAATAAATAATAAATCTTAAAGGAGTTGTTCAAATTCACATATTTTCCCCTTCACCCAAATGTTGTCAACCAGGAAAAGTCTTTTGGGTGACACAGATTTCTATTAAATTAGCCTCATAGTTCCAGTACAGAACTACAAAGCCCTGAGACACCAAACATTTTATGACTGATGGACTATGTTTGGGCTGAGAGGAAAACTGTGTGATCTTGATTTTCCACTGAACGGTTTATTTAAGCAACATTAACAACAAGCACACAGCGGGTGACATTAGCAGTTACACAGCTGACATATCAGGCTAACAACATCTTCAGTCGTCATAGGACCCCGAATACGTGTGTCACAGCAAAATATTCTCCAGTAAAGAGAATGAAACGAGTAGCAGTTGTTTAAATTGCAATGTTTATGGTGGTTGAACGCTCAGTGCATCTCGACACTGTAACTTACGAGTGATGCAAATCACTGAAAGCTCGTTCACCGCCAAACAGAAACCACCAAAATCTACGTCTGAATTTAGCTCTTCCAGCTGCTCCGAGTTTTCAGATTAAGGTCAGTACAAGTGCCGAGTTTCTCTCACACTCACACTGCCCGGTCTGCTGTGAGGGACAGGAGCTCTTATCCGCTGAAATAACTACAGCTACATCTGTTTCACAAACCACAATTAAAACACATAACGAGGAGGAATAACGTCTCCTCAGCAGCGTATCGTAAACACCGGAGCTGTTTAGGCAGGCCACTCCGCAGAACCTGACGAAGCTGGAGTCCGCTTCTCATTCGCCAGCTTCTTGTTCGAATCTTGCCGTTCCACCTTAAATGGTGCAGCAGTTACATTCTGACGCCTGAGACCATTTAAGGTGGAACGGCAAAATTCGAACAAGAAGCTGGCGAATAGGAAGCCAACTTCAGCCTCGTCAAAATGTAGCCTGTGTGCATTTCTTTTATTAGACAGCCAGCCCTGATAGATAGACGGATATAAAGATAGACAGATGGATAGAGAGAAAAAAGAGAGAAACAACAGCACTTTCAGAATCGACATTCTAAAAATTAAAAAAATAAATAAATAAATAAATAAAAATCCACACGCGACATTTTATCTTACCACAGTCTGGCTGTTTGTTGGGGCTGGCATTAAATCTAGTCCTCTCTCTCTGTGTGAGACAGTCCTGAAGGCTGTAACAGCGTCTCCTCCTCGCAGACCCTCGGCCACAGGGACACAGGGAGGGGTGGGCTTAGGCTGCACCTCTAAAGCTGGACCATAACCCGCGCTTTTCTCCTCACCACAGCTGGCAAAGCCAGAAAACGCAGCTCTTCTGGCCGAAACCTCGAGCCGGAGTCAGGTTCAGCAGTACTGAATGAGCTGGGCTAGGCTAGGCTAGCTGTCATGTCGCCTTTGACATGACAAATTACGCAACCGCCTCATTTCAACGCCTGGAGACGGGGCGGGGCCGAAAACTGAGGATGATGATTCCTCTCATGTTTGGAGACCGCTCGTGTATTGTCTGATACCGGGTAAACAATGTATGTCCAAAAGTATCCAGACATCCCTTCTAATTAGAAACACAGTCGAATCTGCATAGATAGAATGTGACTCCGCAGCAGCTACACGTGAGCCTAAGGACATCATGTTCAATGCCAAATGTTGGTTAGAGGGGTATAAATCCCCCCAGTATTGGACTGTGGAGCAGTGGAAGTGCGTTCTCTAGAGTGATGGAGCTTCATCTGATACCTTTGCTGGCACTCTTCATCTTGTGGCTGCCATCAAATCCTCACAGCAATGTTTCAACATCTAGCATAAAGCCTTTTCAGAAGAGTAGTGGCTGTTACTGCTGCAAAGGGTCACAAACTCCCTATTAGTACCCTCAATTTCATAAGCAACGCAGGATGAACAAGTGTCTACAAAATTTTGGAAATATAGTGTAACCTGCTATAAACCACTCGTAACTTGCTGTCCTCGCAAAAAGCACAACGTCCAGGAAATTCATTAACTATTACACCCGTTATGGCCAGTGCACCTGAGCAACTTCACTTAGGTTAGAACCCATCTAAGTAAGGAAAAAAAACAGTACCTTTCAGGGTGTAAACACTGTCACTGTGATGGTCCCCTTAAGCGTCTTGTTATGTATTTAAGTTGTACTGACTCCATACTCCCCGTCTTCACTCCAACCCTTTATTCGATTTTTTTAACTTAAAAAGTTAGGAAAAGGTACAAATGTGCACCTTTCCCCTGGGACAGGGAATATATGGTACCTTTAAAACTAATTTAAAATACACAATTTAATTGTAATGACTACCCTCTAACTCCAACTAAACTCCACCTCTACAGTACCCCTGTATTTAACAGTGAATCTGTTTGAATTTTCTTGATTCAAATGTGTTGTTTCTATTTATTACATCAACACAGTTATTGCTAAAAGTAAGTTAACTGAAATACAAAATTGTGTTGATGTCATATATTTTATTCAATATGGAAATTATCTACACATTTGAAGCAAGTAAATTCAGTGCATTACTTTTTTTCAGTGTAAGGAATGGTGGCAGGTGAACAGGCTGGAGAAAAGCCATTCTAGGCTTAACACACACATGTAAACTGTGGACTGCATTTGATTTCAGTTTCTCCAGTTGCCTCCCAGTTTTATATCACTGTAAGTGCATAACTACATAACTTACACATTAGTTTCATTCTCATAGTAGTTACTGAATAATAATTCTTAAGATGAATAACCTAATTATAAGCCTGGAGTTCAGTTGGTTAAACCCTGAAACGCTTGTTCCACATGCACACCCACACTTCAGTTCTTTGCTCTCATAATGACTTACATAATAGTTTCATAATAAATACTAATGCAGTTTTGCTGTTATGAAACTTTCGTTTTACATAATTTAAAAAGCTTTGAATGTTTAAGCAAATAATTTTCTAAGTTACATCAGCATATGTTAGCATTTTATTTCCATTTTTTTTATGACAGCAACAATGTAGCCACTGAATAATAAGCATTAAGATTAATAAATAACTAATAACAGTGTCAGTTTAACAGACTCTGGAATAGCAGCTCTAGATTTAAAGGGGAACTCTATTTAAAATATATGTATTATTAAAAGGTTAAGATGTACACAAAATCATTGAGAGTGATTTGATATGAAGTTCTTTTTTGTTGAGCAGCTTACAGAGACAACATTGTTTACAGCGGTGCTGATAGGAACCAGATGTCTTAAGCGTTTAATTCCTCTAAAAGCTCTGTCACAGAAAGTTATTACATGACATTTTTAAGAATACACTCCCTGATGTCTGATACATTGTTTTGGTGTTAGTTTTGCGATAAATAGGCCTAAATCATGTTTGTTTTTCATTAGTTTATGGAGGGGTACATGCAGGGTGTTGCAAGGCAAAATACTCTCCAAAGAAAACTTTCTTTCAGTAACCTGTGAAGAAATCTGAGTCAGTAAGTTTCTCCACAACAAACCACTTCACATTAAATCACTCAGAATGACTTTGTTTGCGTCTCAACCACTGAATTAGGCAGATTTTTTGAAAATCAATGGATTTCCCCTTCAACATAGAGACACTATATTTTTGACTTAACTTTGATCAACTTCTTTGGTTCAATTTTCATTACCAGATCCTAAATTGTTGACTTCAACGCTTGATTGCAGGACGTGAGTTACTTCAGCTCTCCGGTTCTCTCCCTTGGGCCATATGTGCTGGTATGCGAGTCTGCTCGACTGCTCTACAGCTGTCCGTGAGGACTGCGTGCTTTATGCCAACATGCCAGGGGAAGTGGTGAAGTAGGCAAAGACACTGCCAGGGATGAATATCGAGAATGTTAGATGAAAATAGCACAAGATGACACCGTTAAGTGTCATGCTCTGCATGCCGGCTGTATCAGAGGCCACTGATTTGAAGATGAATGTTCGAAGACAGACAACGTATTTCAGATATCGGGACCCACGCTTTTGAATTTGTTCCTTAATTGACGTGCTGTATAGCCTACGTATCAGAATTTCCAGCTGGCATTTAGTATTTCAGTCACGTTTATTCTCATCTCGTGCTAACTGCCTGGAATAGCTGTATGATAATTCATACTCTTCACAGTGGAGAGGCACAATTTTAATCTTTTTTTTATGCAGATTTCTTTAATCAAAAACAAACAGTATGCTTTGGCAATAGTTTCAGAACAAAAAGTAATGAATAGTGTGCATAACCTTCATGTATTAGGAGAAACTCAATGGTGATGTCAAGTTAAAGCCACGCCACTTATTCATATTAATAAAGTGCACAGCCGTGATTCATGGATGTCTTTGAAAAGCAAACATAGGTCTGTTTGCTAGAAATACAGAGTATTCAGAAGAACAAGGACCCATGTCAGACCGGTTTATTGGTTTTGTTCTGAGAGCAGTTACACTACTGGAGCCAAAACAAAGTGAATAATTTCAGATGGCATTCCTAAAGAAGCAGTCATTTAGCATTACAAGTTTTCCAATCAGGTTTCCCAGGTTTATTCTCTTTTCTTTACATGCAAATTACAAGCAGGAACAGCACCAAGCTGGGCAGATCAAGTCAAAGTAGTTCTCAGATATTTAAGTGGGAATCCACTGTTTTTTCAAAATATCTGCATAATTTAGTGGCTGAGATGTAAACAGTCATTCAGAGAGATTCAGATTTCTTTTTTAGTAGTGGTGGTGATAGAAACCAGGAGTTGCAATAGTTGTAACCCAGATTTAGCCATTTTATTTACTATCAAAAACACCAGTGAACCTACACATGTCTTTGTAACGTTAATAATGGCAAAATAGTAATAAATTGTTTTTGGCCAAAGCCATAATCTTAAAATTGTCATAAAATATAAAAAAAAAATATGGCAGGCATTAGGTAACTTATTTGTAACTACTTCTTGTAACACTACTCTGTGAGGTATCTTTTAGAGTCATTAAATGCTTCAGATGTCTGGTTCCTATCACCACCACTGTAAACAATTCTCACTCAGCAAGTTTCTTTAGAGTGGAGCATGTCACATCAAACTGTTCTGAATGACTTGATTTACATTTCAGCCATTTAACTATGCAGACATTTTTTTTTAAGTGGTGGAATTCCCCTTTAATGAGTTGCATTAACCTTATACTTAATAAGCTATGATTGATTTGTCTGTACAGTATAAATTTATGGACTATAGCCTGGACTAACTGAGCTCAATTACTAGAGCCAAATGTTGAATGGAAACTAGTTCCCCCACACGGCACTCAGATATGTGCTGAATGTGTATCAAAGGGGAGCAATTTCTGCCACTCATTAAAGCCTTCGAGGATCACAGCAGCCATGGAGCATCTGTCCATCTTGGCACACGGACCTCCGTACATATGAATGCAAGCAATCCACGTCGCCATCATTAAAAACTCAAAAAATGCCCAACAACTGCAACACAGATCTGGGAGAATGTTGAGCATGTGCCTGTGGCAGTTGGTGATCACTGACATGAACAAATAAGGCCAATCTGACATGGAGGGAATTGCGCTGACAAGAACTTGGCGAGCATCATGGCTAATATTCATTAGATATGAAAAATAGAGACATGGAAGTTTTGGAGCTTGAGAGCTGGTAAAATAGTTTTGAGAGGTACTGTCAATGAATATTAAGCTTATCAGTATTTAGGGTGCCACTAACTATGCTATAAAACTATTAACTTTAAAGGGCTCATATCATACAAAATCAAATTTTCCCTCACTTTCTTTGATATAAAAACATTTGTATGTTTGTATGTCGTACGTTTCAAAACATTCACTGACCAGCCCACTTCTATATATGGAAATTAAGCTGGAAAAAAATGGCCGGTTCTGGATTCATTGTTTTTGTGATGTCGTGAAAACCAACACATTTACACATATCGGCCCCTTTCAGCCTACAGCTCCGCCCATTCATGTTGACATTAGAAAGAGTGTTCAAGGCTGGAGTGCTATTTAAATGGCAGGGCGGCCAATCAGAAATGTAGTCATTAAAATATACAGTCTAATGCAAAATTTGAACACCCCCAGTCAAATAATGTGAAAATAAGTTAACACATCCACAGGGAACAAACTTAATTTTTTTGCTGAGTGTAACATTGGAAAAAAATAAATATGAAATATTCCACAACTTTTGCATGTTTTATTTATTCAAATATGTTCAATTCAGTAAATTAACAGTAATCGTGTATTAAACTGTGCAAAAGTGTGTTCCCTGTAGAGGATTTGTTAACTTATATTCACTCAGAAAATCGACAACATGTAATTTGACAAGCACAAACTTTTGCATACAACATACAACTTTTGCATCAGTCCTGAAGGCAGAACAACAAAAACAGTATAAATTGTACGCAGTGGCTGTTTGGTACACAAAAACACACAAATATCTCAAATAA